TGCCGTATACGTAACGAAAAAATTAATACATTTTCCTAACAGCGCGACGATAGATGAGTGGAATTAGTGTGCATGAACGTAGGAACATGAAAAAGTAAGAGTGCTGCAGCAAAGACTGCTCGACTGGAAGATACTCTGATCCTTCGCAAGCCAAGCAAACTGAAACTTTTAAGGCATGATAATAGAATTAAAAAATCTAGATTTTACGGAAGAAACGAATCAAATTATATCGAATTTGATGCTTCTAGCTTTTATTAATGGACAGCCTAACGGACAGACGTACTGGTCAGATTAAGACTGATATGTTGGGGTATATATGGGGTCTGCCACACTTGTCTACACTGATTCCTGTATACGTGTATTTATATATACATACGTGCACAAGGAGCTATGATTGGTTGAAACAAGAGGTCTGCAAATAGATCAGGCTGTCTCCTAGTCTCTCACTTGCTTCTATTCAATTTACTACTTACTTGGCAGCAGTGTGATAAAGTCGCGCTGAAGCATCGGCTTCAAATAGGCATTGATCTGTCCGTGCTGATAGTGGCACATGCGTGATAGCAGCTGCTCGACAAAGTCCACCTGTCCGGCTTCGCTCCACTGTGTGAAGTACTGAAAGCAAACATCCCGCTCTGTTTGATATGTGGGTGATGAATCTTTCTTGCGCACCGGATCGTACAGCATTGTGGTTGTGAACTATATACGGAGCAAAGGAAAAGAAAAAGAAAACAAAGAAAAAAGTTATCAAGTTGAGTTTCCAGCTTAGGCAATACTTAAAACAAACATGTGTAGCTCTACCCATGTCAGCGGACAGCGATGTCTTTAAGTAACTGGAATGTAGGTAACCCTTGCACTCGGCAATGATATTACCAAATGCCGACTTATGTTAAAGCTGAAGTTGAATTTGAAATTGCGCAATTCTCAGATGATATAACGAAGGCTTTGGCTTTCAATTACCCTATAAGCTGAACTGGAAATCTGGGATATATTGTTTCTTGAACTGCTGACCGCTATTCACGATTACAGATGAGAAGAAGCTCAAGACCTACATGCTCAACAAGAATTGATACAAATTTATTTTTCTTCTGTATTCCCAATTACAAGCTTGTACGTTAGAAGCAATGAAGAGCAGATAAACTTCTCAGCAAAAATAAAAACTTCTGTTTCTCAATTACTCTACTTTGTCTGCCCAACCGTCTTTCAATTTGTAAACTTCTATACTATATACTATATTCTATTTATTTTGTATTTTACTCGTTATAAATAAAATTTTTGTCAGATCATTTATGAATTTTTATAATCTTTTACATCTTAGAGCTACAAGATTACGGAGTGGATACCGGCTCCTAATCTTACCATATTCTCCTTTGTAGTTTAAAATAAAGACAGCAATGAATAAGTTAACTATTCAATATAATTTGCAGATCTATGTAAAAGCCGTTGACTAACACGAAGTTACTAAGCGCTTTTCCGATACCTGTGCATACATACACTTAAACACATTCAAGCGTTTCCTATGATAGCATAAATGCGTGCACTGCGAGGCAATTGCAGATGTATCGCTCTGTAGTTTCAGCTGCTATTTTAGCTTATATTGATTGCTTGGGCAGTGAAAAGGCGTTGATAGAGCTGTTGCACGTCGCCTTAGAATTGAGTCAAGTGTTTTTCATCTTTTCTTACAAATATGCTATTTCATTGAGAAAGTGCAAACTTGAATGAAGGTAATCAAAATGTTGCATCGAAAATTATATTGTTTATATAATAAAGCGGTTTTTAATTTTAGAAAACATATTTAAGCCTCTTGGGGAAAGAAACTGATGAGATATAATATTTACTTATTTGTGAATGATCAGTGCTCATTCCGTCGAAATGTAGTTATTAATACCTTGAGTATAGATAAACTTTGTCTATTCAGGTGTGTATGTGTGTGAATAAACAATTGTTTTCATTTGCTTGACTGCGTGCATGAGATTTGTGACTGTGTGTGTATGTGAGCGTGGCCAACGGCTTTAGTCAATAGCGTATTATATTAGCCATGGTTGTTGGCATTGCTGCGTTTTGTTATTGCCATTTACTTGCGTTCGCATTTAAAGTAAACTTAAAATCACTTACTAGGCTAGTTTGTTTATAAGTTTTGAAGCGTTTGGCCTCCGGCTGCACTTGCTAGTAAAACTAACAATTATTTCTCGACTGACAAAAATAACTATTTGGTTTTTCTTATTTTTCACACTGCTATGTGGGTCAAGAAACCACTCGAATATGTGAATTCACTAAGCCACAGCTGTTGTAGATAACGAAGACTTAACTAGCGGAGGGGAGAAATATTAGAGATGAAACTTACATCTGTTTGGTTAGGATGATAGTCTTAATTTGAAATAAATAAATAAACAATAATTTTAAATATTGACATTGCATCTAATGCTCCTGGCTGCCCCTGAAAAAAAATTAGC